GCTCCATCAGAGACTTACAGAAGACGAACCGACTACCGGAGATTATTATTTTCTTTGATTCTCCATTCCCCCTCTCAAAGCTTGTATCTCCATTCTCCATACCTTTGAATCAATAAAATACCCGGCGACTGAAGCCATTGAAGAGTGGACGTAGGTCGAATTGACCGAACCACTATAAATTGTGTCTTCTCTAATTTTTTCGTTGATTTCATTGCATTTATTATCTATACTTGACAGGTGGTGTGCAAAACCATTTTTGTGCATCATCAGATACCATCAAATATTTTTCGCTTATTATTTTGTCTTTTGTGGTATCATGACATTAAATTAAAGATCTCGTCAGTTCCATCATTTCTCAATGTCAAAACAATATGAATGTCCGACTATCAATCATTCTAAAAATTTTTGTCTCAATTATCCTAAAGGGTTTTTTTTTCTCAATTATTCTAAAAATTTAAAATACTAGAAAATAAACATACAATTTATATCGACCCCTGTGACATTTGTTTACAAATGGAGGAGACATAACATTAAGTGCATCAACAGGCATATATAAAACAAGAACATGGTGCATCATATGCTAACAATAAGACTTTAAGCATAGATATCATAATAGAGAGCAGTACTATTATTAAAGTATGTGTAGCTCATATTTGTTGTGTGCACAATGACAAGGAGGTATATATCGGAGCGGGCAGAGCGTAGCGGAGTGGAACGAAGCGGAACATAACGGAGTGGACAATAGAGTGACCCTTCAATATAGCAGATAACAAAAATGACCCTTCAGTTGTGGGATATGTGGATGCAGATTATGTAGGAGACTTGGATGACAGGAAGTCTACCATAGGTTATGTGTTTACTCTTGTGGGAGTACCTATTTGTTGGAAGTCCATGGTACAGCCTATAGTTGCACTATCCACTACTGAGTCAGAGTATATGACAGTAGCTGAGGTTGTCAAGAAGGCTTTATGGCTTACAAGTTTGGTCAAGGAGCTGGGTGTCCAGCAAGGTGGAGTTCAGTTGCATTGTGACAGTCAAAGTGTCATTGATTTAACAAAAAACCAGGTGTATCATGCAAGGACCAACCACATAGATGTGAGGTTTCATAAGATTAGGGAGCTGGTTCCTTCTGGTAAATTATTACTTGAAAAAGTTCACACTTCTGAAAATGCAACAAACATGTTGACAAAGCATATTACTGCAGACAAGTTCAAACACTGCTTACACTTAATTAATGTCTTCAGTTACTAGATGGGAGATGCCTTAATTTAGCGTCCTAGGTGGAGTTTTCGAATACATGTTCTCTTTTTCTCCTAAGAAGTGAATATTTGCCAAGGTGAAAATTGTTAGAGTATGTGTGACTCATATTTGCTGTGTGCATAATGGCAAGGAGGGAAATGACGTAGCGGACGGAGCATAGCGGACGGAGCGTAGCGAAGTGGAGCGAAGCGGGGCAACGCCCCCACAGTACGATACAGGAGGATTTTGTAAATACGTCCGTACTAGAGTTATATAAATACTTAAGATGTAACCCTGTTTTAAATAATTGAAAAGAACAGTCGCTCGCTCCTGTGGATGTAGACACATTACCGAACCACGTAAATCTCTATATTATTTTCTCTTGCTTTCTTAATTGATTGATTCCTTATTATTCATCATAATTGCTGCACGATCACAACAACTATCGACCCAGAAAATGAGGATTAGCATATTCAAAAACAGATTTACTGGAATACATTGAGATAGAAGAATTCTGCTTTGTTTCCCCCATCATGTCAAATGTTTCTGACAGGGCAAAAAACGGCTGATAATATTCACAATGAAGTTTCTCATACTAGTTGCATTTATATAGCTCAAATAACATAAACCATGCCAACCTCGAGGAGAGACGCTGGAGGCACCTTGAGTACTACATCTGGTCCCCTGCAATTTCTCCTCAGGAAATTATAACCAAAGTTGATTGCCAACTTCTTCAAGAAAGATGATCCTTGTTTTGCTTTAACATGTGAATGCCCAAGAATGAACGCAGTCCCCGCCTGTTGAGCCCCATACAGATCTTCTAGCTCTTCCCGCAATTGCACATCAATTTCAGACTGAGAATCAGCTTCAGATTCGTTATCAACAGCAAACCTCACTCTTCTTTCCACAACACCAAGGGGCGCCATCTCAGTAACATCAGCTATACTGTCAACTGTTGGGAACCCAACAGTTACACTTCGTGGTTGCATGGTTTCCTCATTCTCAAACGCAGGTCTGCCAGCAAATCCTACAGTTCCTATCACAGCCAATCTGCACTCACTTGATGATCCACCAGAATGAGATCCATCATCTTCATTACATGTGTTAGAAATCCCATGTGTCCAGCCCCAATCATAACGGATAAAATCAACCAGCCTCTTAACAAGTTCAGACTCAAAAGAATCAACATCCTGGTGAACATTGCGGTATCCATAACGAACAATGCACCTGTACGACCGATGAGCTGCAGGACCCACACGGCCTACAAGGTACCGCTCAGCTGGAGGCACAAAAGGGACTGGTACCGACTTCACACATACAAAAACAAGAACACGGTGGAAGGCAGGGAGGTTGGTAACAAAATGCAAGAAGCTTGCAGGAATGCCAGAGGTTATATTAGTAAACACTAGGCCAATTCCAGGTACTCGATCAACACCCAAGCTTGGACCCAAGGCTAACAGCCATTCCAATGGAACTTTGTTGTGAAGGTCATTTTCATACTTTTTAATGGTGGCATAGTGCCAAACAAACATGACAGTAACAAGGAAAAGTGCAAGGAGGATGGGAAGCCAGGCACCTTCATGGAACTTGGTCAGGGAAGCTGAAAAGTACAGTAGTTCAATAGATCCAAATAAAAATAGGAAGGAAAGAGCTAAAATAGGATGTTTATGCCAGCAGAGGATAATGACCAAGGATGTGAGGCAAGTGGTCACTAACATTACCACCATCACCGCCAATCCTGCAACAAATTACATAAAAATTGGAGTACCTTAAGAAGAATTTCCTTAAATTAACGTCTAATTTCCTCATTATTCATTCCTGCTTTAAAAAGTTATGATTAATATAGAATTGTGAAAGGAAAAGAAGAAAAAAACAAAATCGCACACACTTGTAGACTTCTGTACAAGTTAAAACACCAATGTGCACAGAAATCAGGGGGAAAGGTGCTAAAGCATTTTTGCTAGTTAATCTGCAGGAATGTAACAGACAGAACACTCATTTATACATGGAGGATAATAAATTATGAAATTTCCCTTTGGACCAATCTGACAGCTTATTAGTTGTCATCCAGTTTATTGAAGCCTTGAAAGTTGAAGAAGGTTAGCATCAATTTGATGGTTTGGCCTAAAAGATCTTACAGGAAAAAATAGTTAGGCGTAATCTACCTGATGCATTTCCCATGTGTTTTATGTCTCTGAACCCAATAGTCACAGCAATGCAGAGGATCATGAGCATCCAGTTGATCTCAGGGATATAGATCTGGCCATGTATCTTATCAGAGGTGTGAACAACCTTCACTCTCGGAAAGCAAGCAAGTGATTGACTCTGGTTGATGATCGAGAATGTCCCGCTGATGATTGCTTGACTTCCCACAACGGAAGCAAGGATGGCTATTGCAAGCACTGGCCACCTTACATACTCTGTATGCAATATACAACAGCGACTATGTTATCCAAACCAAAGGCAAACACAATTCTTAAAATATCAGAAAACTTGGATTCTTCAAAGAAAACTGTTCCCTCTGTATGCAAGATACAACAACCGTTATGTTATCCAAACCAAAGGCAAACAAAATTGTTAAAATATCTGAAAACTTGGATTCTGCAAAGAAAAGTGTATATTCTTTATGTGAGATACAACGACCACAATGTTATACAAACCAAAGGCAAACACAATTGTTAAAATCACAGAAACCTTGAGTTCTGCAAAGAAAAAGTCTCTCTCTCTCTCTCTCCATAGCAAGTACATATAATAAGCATGCATGGGGTTTAGAAGTCCAACCCGCATACTGCACACCATAAGTCTTTTAGGTTGCGGCAACAAGTCATTTCTAGCTTAGTCAACATAAAGCATCACGAGGGAGAACTCGCAATGTCTCTCTATGTTCATTAGGCGGGTTTGCACCAATTCATACATAGAGACCAATGAAGGTGCAGGGAATAGGCATGGTCAAAACAGTGATCCAGTGTAAAAACTAACGTGAATAGGCCTGGTCACAACAGTGATCCAGTGTCCAAACAGAGTAACACAGGGAATGAACTAATCAATATCAATGCTAGATAATAAGCTTGCAATATCCATTATATATCTGCCAGAACAAACTATAAATCACTGCCATAAATCCTACGGCATGACCTAGAATGAGCCCAGCCCAACTTGGCCTTGGCTATTATGATCCTAAGATGCAGACCTTGAAGTGGCTATTATGATTCAAGCTCAATCATTTGGTCCTTGAGACTTTGGTGCAAATACCTCATGTAATCCTAAGGTTGAAGCATTTTCATTGGCTTGATTAATGTCATCCAGAAAGAAACATACTTCACAGAAATATGCCATATTCCTGTGATTTGCTTTAGCTAACAACTGTTGCATTTCCCTGAATTGTAAACATCTGTATACGAGTGGAATGCATCTGAAATTTGTTTAGGCTGTTGAAGTTCACAAAACTACAGGAATCTTCAACTTAACCTGAATTGAAATAAAGAAAAATGATATCTGAGTTTCAAGCTTGGACACAAAAATACTCGTCCTATCTTAGGCTCAGATCATGTGGCACCATCTGAGACAAGCAGAGACGTCCTCACCATGTAGACACCCAAAGACAAATTTCAAATGAACAACATTCTTCCCTCTTAGAGCCTAGGAAGGATAGAATATACCTGGCACTGAGACATAAAAACCAATTTCATAACGGGTGCCGTGATGCTTCGATAAGTAAGCTGTTTGACCCATATATATCAATATTAGTGCTGGATAAACCAGGAAGGTGAAAGCAATCTGCAGAAAAAGGGGAATGAGAAGTATTGCTTCCAGACGCAACATAGATTATTCCATGGGTAAAAGCATTGCTAGCACACAACAGTTACCATTAATTAGTGGATAATATCCAATCCAGCAGTACCTGAATTGCAGTATAAGAAAAGTGTCCAAGTTCATTAAACATTGCTTCTGAGCCTGCAAACACAATTAGTTCGAATATAAGGCATTTGTTGGGACTTAGAAGTTCAATTACTATCCACAACATTCTGCAGATCTTTGCAGCACTACATTCCTGAATAAGTTTCTGGTATATGGCATATAATGAAGTGTAACCTTTTTTTAATTTTTCTAAGGCTCACAAGAAAACTCATCATCATGCGCCGCACACAAGTCAAAATAGCATTTTGTTAATTTGAGGTTGCATGACAGAAGCATCACATCAGTGGCAAATGCCAGCAACATATAATAATTTAAGGATGATCTAGAACTCAGTGCATGATAAATAGGAATCAAACCATGAAAAATTGACCTACTGATTGTTTGTAACGAGTTTACCTGTTATGCACAATAAAATTCCACCTAAAGACATCCATCCTCTTTTTCTTGTCTTTTTTAAGAACTTTAACATGTAATATGGAGAGAAAGCTCTATAAACTTGTGGGTTCCAACGAAATATATTGTACAAGCCGAGGGCACTGATGCATAGTAGCCAAGTCAACACAACTGGTGCGAAAAAGAAGCCAATCCGATGAGTGCCATAGTGTTGTAGTGCAAATAGGCACACCAATATGAAGCAAGTAATTGGAATCACAGCATCTGAAAATTTGGGCATAGACCGCAAAAAGTAAGAACAGATAGAATGGGTATGAAAACCTGCAACGAATTGGATAAATCTCTTCATAACAACTTAAAGAAAGCCCCCATGATGTTAAAGCTATGTATATTTAAGTTTATTCTTCTAATCGATGAACTATTGAAGAGCAGTAACAGAAAAGAGTATATAAATATGAAGTGACTAATACTTTAGCATACGATTACAGATAAATTCTCAAGACGAAGCAACAATTTAGAATATAATGTTCTCAATGTTAACTGGAAAACCATTTCGTTTAGATATATTAAAAAAAATGAAATATTGCAGCTAAAATTTGTTACTACATTGTGAGTCTTATAAACTAGAGTTGTAAACAGTAATTTTTATCAGAACACACCTCATAACTCCAGTCCAATCACTTGTCTCGTAAACAGCAGTAAAATGTGGCACCACTTATAACAAATAACTATCTCTGCTAATTGTGAGGTTAATAAAACGAAATCACTCCTATACAAGGCCATTTGTTTTCCCATTCCCCCCTTCCCTCTTCCCCTTCCCCAACCAAAATTTAGCTAAACTTAGACAGGGAACCTAGGATAACCAAACAAACACACAGTGATTATATAAATTTCATCAAAATTTTGTTCTTCCACATATTATATATGTATTGCTTTTCTGGACAAAAGATTGATTAGATGTATATAGGGCTATTATGGATTTCTCTCAAAGATTTGATGATATAAAACCATAACCTTCACTAGTCCTTACCAACACTGTGTTATCACTCAAAAAAAAGCACCATCTCTTTCTCAATCTTGCCTGTAAACGTATTACATATTGCTGAAAAGGGAAAAATATGACCATTACATTACAGAACCCAACTTGCAGAGTTTGGATAGTCCTGGCACTGCAGGCCAAATAGTTTCTGTTCACTAAGCTGGTCAGGAAAACAAAGTGGTTCCCCTCCCCTTAACCGACAACCAATTTCAATGATAGAAAGCACACACCTCGTGACTCTGTAACTTCACCAAGAATATTCAAAATCAGAACAACAGTAAACAAAACAATAGTAAATCTGTGGTTGAAACAAAGAATATTTTGAACCTGTCGTGCCCCTACCCCAGCAGCCTTATGGTGATCCCAACAATAATTCATAAGTATTTGCCAAAGAATTTTAAAAATATTAAAAGAGCACTTACTTTTCAATTCTCCTTGATATGATTTTACACGTAATAAAAGAAGTTGTATGATATCAAACTCAAACCAAACATGACACCAATTATGAGGCAATAAAATTTCATTTTTCTCCGCTTCATGAGCTGATTGATTTTATATTGTGTAAATCTTTTAATAGCCACATAATTTTTTTAAGAAAATACAGTGAAATTAACAGACTTCAAATACTCGAGACGCTCTTCATAAAGAAGCTTACACTGGTGATGTTCCTTAGACACGGAAAACTCAAGGCCAGAAACTGCAGAAAAAACTAAACAAAGAAACATGTAGTTAGTCAACAAATAAGAGGACAGAACTGCAATTGAAACATATTTCACCCCAAATAAAGGTTACCACATATGGCTGGAGTGAGCAGTCCATCCCCAATTACCATGCAAGCACCCAGAAGAACCAAGATCAGCAATGCAGTGTGCAGGGACTTGTGCTTCTCAAGCAATAATTTCACCCTTGAACTATTCTCTCTCTGTGGAGGGTGCTCCAGTTTATATGTAGACATTGCTTCATCAGTAACTTGACGGTTGGGTAGAAGACACACTTTAGCATGCCTGCATATCAAGGAATACAGGGCACAAATACCACCTGCGGAATCATGCACAAGATTCTTCAATTTGATGACCAAACAACTTAAATATCTCTCGTTTAATCTAGTCCTCACCTTCTCCATTGTCATCAGCTCTAAGGACAATGAAGACGTATTTGAAGAGAGGAACTAAAGTTAGAGTCCAGAAGACAAAGGAAAGAACACCAAAAATCTCTTCGTTCGTGTCTGAGTGATGAATGTCTTCTGCAAATGTGCTCTTGTAAACATAGAGAGGGGAAATGCTGAGGTCGCCATATACCACACCAAGACTTTGATAAGCTAAGAGCAGAGTGGTCTTCCAAGAATCCTTCTGAAAAGCAATTTCAGCAAGCAATTTTCTTATAACATCTCAATAAAGAGAGCATATTATTATTTTTCAGGACACAACCGTGTATATTAAGAAAAAGCCAGAGGTTTAAAAACTTCTGTACATGTTCAGCTTGCTTATAAACATTTAAAAAAGAAAGTTCGGGTAAATTGAGGAAGAAGAGCAACTGAACAAACCTTTGAAGCCCTCCAACACTTTCCATCTTGAAGATTCATTGTTATAAGACTTCAAACTTCACATGGATTTCCCTTGGAGATGGACACAGCTAGATGCAGATCCTCACTGGAAACAAAAGTCAAGATTAATGCATATACCTCGGAGAAATAGAGAAAATATAGTGAAGAAACACCTAGAGATGACACATAAGGGGATATAGAGGTAAAAAAGGGACATCTACCCATTTTGCCACAAACCCATTTCATATTCCTACCTTCTTCAAAGGATAGTTATGCTTACTGCTATAGAAATCAGAATGGCAAAGGAAATGTGGCTCAGGTAATAGATGAATCAGCCATTAATGCACTGATTATAGCTCAGTTACAAACCTTCCAGATCCATAACAACAAACCAAAACCAAAACCAACACATTATATGTTCAAGCATACCTCCATATCTATCCAGCGACCTCTCATCTTCTCGGACTTCTCGAGGAAAATGGCCGTCATCTCTATGGCAAGCAGGGCCTGAATAAATATTCATTCGAACCATCATTCATCCAGTAGCTGATTAATGAAGCTAGTTTCCCAATTCTCATACGCCATGTGTTTTGTACACACCTTAGTGACTGATCGGGCATTGAAAACAGTTGGAGCTCTGAAAAAGTTGAAGATATAGCGGTCTATTGAAGGGGTAACTTGGAAGGATTAGAGGATCAACAGAACCAGTCAATATGGCATACGTCTATTGAATATGCTCTTAGAAGCCTCCGAGGACGTCCTATACAAAGCCAGCAATGGGCGAATCTCTCAGAGATGGTGGTGATATACCCGAGTGTGTCTGTTTGTATGTATTCACAGGTGAGAACATTGGGCGGGAAGGGAGAACAATTTTGTTAGTTTTTTTGAAAAACAAATTATTTTGGTTTGTTTAAATTTAAGATTGATTTAAATTTAACTTATTTAAAATTTAAATATACTTTTTAAATTTATTTAAAAAATGAGCTCGACAATTCGACTTTTTTTTTCTCAACAATTCAACTCAAATATCACTCGTACACCCAATTACTATATGAGATTAATACTATTCATTTATGTCATTTATTTGTTTATTATCATTAAAATATAACCGTTACATTAAACATTAACATAATGATATTATATCCATCGGCTTTCTTCTACCGGTTGTGCACAATTATAAGACCAATAAAATTTGTGTTTTAGATTTCAATTTTTAAAAAGACTTTAAAATTTTTAAGTGTACAGTAATAATTCAAATTAAAAAATAACTCCATAAAATAAAGTTTTAGCCTAAATGAAAAAATTTAAAAGAGGGAAGAAAATAAAGAAAAATTCAAGCACCTTCTCTTAATTGGTGGGTTAAGAAAGGTGATAAGAAAAATCCACATTAAAACGAAAAAAAGACAAGTAACAAGAGTTAATAATACCGATATAAACTATTTTTCCTCCCTCCCATGTATTTTCTCTTCTATTTCCATCCTTTCTCAACTATTAGACAATAGACCCACACTTTTTCTCAACCCCTCACACATGACCCCCTTTTAGACAAACATGAACTCAATGTATCAATATACACAAACCATTATGCTAACCTAAGATTTACTGCAAGACATAGAAGAATTTTGACTTTTTACCCCAATTTTGAATGCTTATGAAAGGAAAAATCAGCACTAATACACCAGATTCTATCAGAACTCCGTAGTTAAGCGTGCTTAGGCGAGAGTGTACTAGAACGAGTGACCCCCTAGAAAGTCCTCATGTTGCACCCCTTAAAAAAAAAGAAAAAAAAAATGAAGGGAAAAACAGCACAATCTATGTTAATCTGATCTTTTACATACACTCTCTAATATGATATTAGCAATAACACTAGTGCCATTTATAGCTTACACAACATACACCAAGCCAACCTCGAGGAGAGAAGCTGGAGGCACCTTGAGTGCTACATCAGGACCCCTGCAATTTCTCCTCAGGAAATTATAACCAAAGTTGATTGCCAACCTCTTCAAGAAAGATGATCCTCGTTTTGCTTTAACGTGCGAATGCCCAAGTATGAATGCAGTCCCTGCTTGTTGAGCCCCATATAGATCTTCTAGCTCTTCCCTCAATTGTATATCAATGTCACACTGAGAATCAGGTTCAGACTCATTGTCAACAGCAAACCTCACTCTTTTTTCCACAACGTTGAGGGGTCCCATCTCAATTACATCCCTCGCACTCTCAACTGTTGGGAACCCAACAGATACACTTTCTGGTTGAATGGTTTCCTCAATCTCAAACGCGGGTCTGGCAGCAAATCCTACAGTTCCTATCACTGCCAATCTGCACTCACTTGATGATGATCCAACAGAATGAAACTCATCATTTTCATTACATGTATTTGCAATCCCATGTGTCCGGCCCCATTCATAATGGATAAAATCAGCCAACCTATTAACAAGCTCAGATTCAAAAGAATCGACATCCTGGTGAACATCGCGATATCCATAACGAACAATGCACCTGTACGACCGATGAGCTGCAGGACCCACACGGCCTACAAGGTACCGCTCAGCTGGAGGCACAAAAGGGACTGGTACCGACTTCACACATACAAAAACAAGCACACGGTGGAAGGCAGGGAGGTTGGTGACAAAACGTGAGAAGTTTGCAGGAATGCCAGAGGTTAGATCAGTAAACACTAGGCCAATTCCAGGTACTCGTGCAATACCCAAGCTTGGACCCAAGGCTAATAGCCATTCCAACGAAACTTTGTTGTGGAGGTCATATTCATACTTTTTAATGGTGGCATAGTGCCAAACAAACATGACAGTAACAAGGAAAAGTGCAAGGAGGATGGGAAGCCAGGCGCCTTCACGGAACTTGATCAGGGAAGCTGAAAAGTAAAGCAATTCAATAGATCCAAATAGAAGTAGGAAGGAAAGAGCTAAAATAGGAGGTTTATGCCAGCAGAGGATAATGACCAAGGACGTGAGACAAGTGGTCACTAGCATTACCGCCATCACCGCCAATCCTGCAACGAATAACATAAAAGAAGGAGTACTTAACGAAGAATTTCCTTAAAGTAACATGTAACTTCCTCATTACTCGTTTCTGCTAAAAAAGTTAAGATTAATATTGGAATTGTGAAAGAAAAAGAAATAAAAAAGAAACCCATAATCATCCACACTTCTGTACAAGTTTAAACACCAAAGTGCTTAGAAGTCGGGAGGCCCTTTGCTGTATCATTTTTGCTTGTTAATTTACAAGAATGTAACAGATAGAACACTCCTTTATATGTGGCGTATAATAATCTGAAATATTCCCTTTGGATAAATCTGAAAGCTTATTAGTTGTCATCCAGTTTATTGAAGCCTTGAAAGTTGAAGAAGGTTAGCATCAATTTGATTTCTTGATGGTTTGGCATAAAAGATTTTACAGGAAAAAATAGTTGGGCAAAATCTACCTGAAGCATTTCCCATGTGTTTTATGTCTCTGAATCCAATAGTCACAGCAATGCAGAGGATCATGAGCATCCAGTTGATCTCTGGGATATAGATCTGGCCATGTATCTTATCAGAGGTGTGAACAACCTTCACTCTCGGAAAGCAACCAAGTGATTGACTCTGGTTGATGATAGAGAATGTCCCACTGATGATTGCTTGACTTCCCACAACAGAAGCAAGGATGGCTACTGCAAGCACTGGCCACCTAACATACTCTGTATGCAAGATACAACAACCACTATGTTATCCAAACCAACGGAAAATACAATCATTAAAATCTCAGAAAACTTGGATTCTGCAAAGAAAAATGTTCCCCCCCTCCCTCCCTCCCGGCACATCAAGCACTTAAAAACATGCATGGGGCTTAGAAGTCAAATCCACATACTGCACACCAGAAGTCTTTTATTGCATCCGCGAGTCATTTCTAGTTCAGTTAACATAAAACATCACCAAGGAGGACCAGCAATGTCTCTTTGTTCAATAGGCAGGTTTCCACCAATCTATGCATATAGACCAATGAAGGTGCTGGGAACAGATGTAAACACTAACGAGATTAGGCCTGGTCACAACAGTGACCCAGTGTCCAAACCGAGTAACACAAGCAATGTCAATGCTAGAAAACAAGCTTGCAATTTCCATTATATATCTGCTTGAGAAAACTAAACATCCATCATTAGATTGAAATAAGACCTAGGTGTGAGCCCAGCCCAACTTGGCCTGGGCTATGATGATCCAAAGACAGAGACATTGAAGTGGGACACACAAGAAAATTTTCAAGCTCAGGCATTATTGGTCCACGAGATTTTGGTGCAACTACCTCATGCAAACCCAAGGTTGAAGCATTTTAACTTTCAATGCCTTGATTAATGTCATCCAGAAAGAAACATACGTGGCTGAAGTCTATTATAGTCTATTATAGTCCTGTGAGGTGTTTTAGCTAACAAGTGTCGCATTTCCATGAATCATAAACATCCATATACACATGGAATGCATCCGAAATGTATTTAGGCTGTCGAAGCTCACAGAACTACATGAATCTTCAACTTAACCTGGATTGAAATAAAAAAACATGATATTTGAGTTTCAAGCTTGGAGAAAAAAATACTTATATTGTCTCAGGCTCAGATCTCGTGGCACCATCTGAGGCAAGCAAAGCCACCATCACCATGCAGACACCCAAAGTCAAATTTCAAACTTGAAATATTTAGAAGAGAGAAAAGGGATACAAATTAAGTGTAGAGCCCCCCTATATATAGTCAATGAAAGTTACAATAAGGAAAAAAGGCAAAAAGGTAAAACTTAATAAACCCTAATAAATTAAGTTGTTATATCTCAAACACTCCCCTTCAAGGTAGGCGCAAAAATGTCAATTAAGCCAAGCTTGACAATTGAGTCCCGAAAAATAGATAAAAGTGACAGATTTGGTTAAAACATCTGTAACCTGTTCACTAGTCCCCACAAACGATAGAGTGACAATACCACTGCTAACCTTCTCCCAAAGAAAGTGAACATCAATCTCTATATGCTTCGTCCTCTCGTGTAATACAGAGTCAGAAGTGAGCTAAATAGTAGATCGATTATCACAATATAATGTAGATGAAGAAATCACTGGAAGTCCCAACTCGCCAAGAATCGATCGTAGCCAGATCATTTCACATGTGCCAAGTGTCAGTGCCCGATACTCTGCCTCTGCTGATAAGCAAGAGACAACTAACTACTTTTTGCTTTTCCAAGAGATAAGATAAGTCCCTCGAAAAGCACAGAAGCTCGTAGTAGATCGACCATCACATGCTCCCCCATAACCTGAATCTGAATAACAGGCTAGAAAATCAATCTGAGATCCTGATGCATAGAACAACCCAAGTCCAGAACAAGACTTGAGGTATCGAAGAATATGATAAACTGCATCAAGATGAGGGCTGACATGGTCTGTGCATGAACTGACTAACTCGGCTAACAGCGAATGAAATGTCTAGTCTAGTGTTGGCTAGGTAGATAAGTCTACCTACCAACCTCTAATAGACAGTCGGATCTCCCAACTCCTCACCTTCAGCAGTAAGCTTCAGGTTTGGAATCATGGGTGATGATACCGGTTTGCACCCCAGCATCCCAATGTCTGAGAGAAGATCCAAAACATACTTTCTTTGAGAAAGAACAATATCTCTGCTGCTACGGACAACCTCAATCCCAAGAAAGTATCGCAAAAATCCAAGATCCTTCACATCGAAGGCCTTCCCAAGGTCTACCTTAACCTGTGCAGTCCCAGAAACATCATCTCCAGTAATAATAATATCATTAACATATACCAAAAGGATGACACACTGTCCGAAAGTATTCCGTCGAATGAAGCAGGTATGATCAGAATGACATCTGGTGAACCCTAAACGTACAACTACATCACTAAAGCGAGAAAACTAGGCTCATGGTGACTGTTTCAGTCCATAAAGAGACTTACACAGTCGACAAACCTTTCCCGCATACTCCCCCTCACCACGAAAGTCTGGTGGTGCATCCATATAAATAATCTCATCCAGACCACGGTGAAGAAATGCATTCTTCACATCCAACTAATGTAGAGGTCAAGACTATTCTGCAGCCAGATAAATAATCAGTCGAACAGTAGTCAATTTTGCCACAGGGACAAAGGTAGCACCAAAATCACGACCTGATACCTAAGTAAAGCCCTTCGTCACAAGGCTAGCCTTGTGACGATCAATAGCACCATCCGCAAAAAACTTCAGGGTATAAACCCAGCGACAGCCAACAAGCTTCACCCCTGAAGGTAAAGAGACAAGATCCCACGTATGATTATGCTGAAGAGCGTCCATCTCTATCTGTATGGCAAGAACCCACTGGGGCTCCCGCATAGCCTCTAAAACAGAGCGAGGAACCGATGTATCTGATAAGGTCATACTATAAGCTCGAAATATAGGAGACAGATCATCATAAGAAACATAAACAGAGATCGAATATGAAATCCTGGCAGTCCAACCATAACGAACAATTGGACGACGATCACGTCGTGGATAACGATGTCCTAAATCATTATCCTCCACTGATAATGTCTCATCAGGTAAAACAACTGGCTCAGTACCTGCAATCTCACCAATACTAACAACAGGTGCATCAATATGCTCAACGAACTGAGAAGTATTACTTGTATCGCCTGAGGTAGAGGGGAAATCAGCAGGGGGATGAAAGCGAGGACGACGAACATAAACCTACAAAGGAAGAGAGATTGGTGACTCTGTAGTGACAGGGATGAGTGGCTCTGGAGGAGGAGAGACCGATGACTCTGTAGTGATAGTGACCAATGGCTCTGACTCCGGTGGTAATGAAAAATCAAAAGGAGTATCATCAACTAGAGGGGCGGACACAGAATTGAAAGAAAAATATGAAATGTGCTCAAGGAAGATAACATCTAGACTTTGATACATACATCATCTGACAGAATCATAACACCGATACCCCTTAGACTGATAACAAAAGTCCACAAAGACACAACGAATCGCTTTATCATCAAGCTTATGACGAGTAGGAGACCAATCCTGAACAAAACATATGCAACCAAAAACACGAGGGGGGACTGAAAAAAGTGTCTGCTCAGGAAATAAGACCTGTAAGAGAGCCCTATGCTGAAGAACACAACTCGGTGTAAATTACACAAAAAGTAGAAGTCAAAACAGCAAAATGCCAATAAGATTTTGGTACCCCGATACCTCTAAGCATACAACATACCATCCCTATCAGACTCCTATTTTTCCTTTCAGCAACTCTATTTTGTTCAGGAGTATATGGACAAGTGAGCTGCTGAAGGATACCCTGAGAAGAAAAGTGAGACACTAAAGCATCAGACACATATTCTTTGGTATTATCTGAACGAAGAGCACAAACAATGACATTAAACTGTATCTTAATCATTTGAAGAAATTGAGTAATGACAAGGAGTACATCAGACTTCCTATGCAAAAGGTAGACCCAAGTACAACGGGTATGGTCATCTATAAATGTCACATAGTATCGGACACCTGACAGAACAATAACAGGAGAGGGTCCCCAAATATCCGAGTGTATTAGGTCAAATGATTTGGGTGACTAGTGCATGCGAGAAATATAACTGGCCCGAACATGTTTTGATAGGGAGCATATAACATAGTCAAGTTTACCACTAACACAAGCTTTGCTCAAAGCAGGAAATAACATATGTTGTTTGGTTGTTGTTGGTTTGGTATATGTTGGTTAGCAGTGGACTGGTTTTGGTTTGACAATCTGTCGGTGCTTTGCTTGGTTTGATGGTCAGAGTATATCACGAAGTATGTCGGTCGGTGGGTTTTGCTGCTATATGTCGCTGGGTGAACTGGTATTTTTGGGTGGTATATGTCGTTGGCAATGAACTGGTTTTGTTGGTCGAAGTTGGGTGAGCAGCGGCTGGTTTGTTTCGCTGGTTGGGATGATTGGCGAAGGTTAGGTTTAGGGTTAGAGTTGATGGCTCTGTTACCGGCTTGAAATATTTAGAAGAGAGAATAGGGATACAAATTAAGTGTAGAACCCTCGTATATATAGCCAATGAAAGTTATAATAAGGATAAAAAGGTCAAAAGGTCAAAAAAGAAAAACTTAATAAACCCTAATAAATTAAACTGCTATATCTCCAACAAAAATGAACAACATTCTTCCCTCTTAGAGCATAGGAATGAAAGAAAATACCTGGCACTGAGACATAAAAACCAATATCGTAACTGGTGTCATGATGCTTTGATAAGTAAGCTGCTTGACCCATATATGCCAATATTAGTGCTGGATAAACCAGGAAGGTGAAAGCAATCTGCAGAAAAATGATGAATAATAAGTACTGCTTCTTTTCACAACAAAGATTATTCCACGGGTAAAAAGACATTGCTATTTGGTAGCAGTCGAAAAGTTACTGTAAATTAATAGATAAATGTTAAATCCAGCAGTACCTGAATTGCAGTATAAGAAAAGTGTCCAAGATCTGCAAACATTGCTTCTGAGCCTGCAAACACAGTTATTCATAATATAAGGCATTTGTTGGGACTTGGGAGTTCAAATTAGTATCCACACTATTCTGCATATCTTTGCAGCACTACATTTCTGAATAAGTTTCCGGTATATAGCACACAATGAAGTATAACATATTTTTTATTTTCCTAGGGCTCACAAGAGAACTCATCACCCCGTGCAGCACACATAGTTCAAATAGCATTCTGTTAATTTGAAGGTTGAATGACAGATGCATTGGATCTGTGTCAAATACCACTGAAGTGGTGATAATAACACTTTTAAGAATCATCTAGGACTCATCGCACATTCACAAGTGCATGATCAATAGACATCAAACCATGAGAAATTGACCTAATGAATGTTTTGTATCAAGTTTACCTGTTATGCACAATAAAATTCCACCTAAAGACATCCATCCTCCTTTTCTTGTCTTCTTTAAGAACTTCAACATGTAATATGGGGAGAGAGCTCTATAAACATGAGGATTCCAATGGAATATATTGTACAAGCCGAGGGCACTGATGCATAGTAGCCAAGTCAGCACAACTGGTGCGAAAAAGAAACCAAGCCGATGTGTGCCATAGTGTTGTAGTGCAAATAGGCACACTAGTATGAAGCAAGTAATTGGAATCACAGCATCTGCAAAATTGGGCATAGACAACAAAAGTAAGAACTGGTAGAATGGGTATGAAAACCTGCAACTAATTGAAAAAATCTCCCCATCACAACTAGACTAAATCCCCAATGTTACTAAAGCTATGTATATATGCCTTTATTCTTCTAATTGATGAATAATTGAAGAGCAGTGACAGAAAAGGGCACGCACACACACATATGTGTGTGTGTGTGACATGACTAATACTTCAGTATAAGATTGCAGACAAAATTAGTTACTACATTATGAGCCACTACACTGACAATCATAAAAAGTACTTATGCACGAATTTTTATTCAGAACACACGCCTCATTACTCCGCTTCCAATCACTTGTCTCGTGTGCAACAGTGGAATGCAGCACCACTTCTAACAAAGAACTATCTCTTTGCCAACTGTGAGATTAGTACAATACCATCACTCCAACAATAGGCCATTCGTTTTCCCATTCCCCCCTTCCCTCTTCCCCCTCCTAGACCATAACAATTTTAACTTAGAAAAAGAACCTAGGAAAACCAAACAAACACAGAGTGACCATATAAATTTCATCAAGATTTTGTTCTTCTAAAGATTATTCATGCATTGTTTTTGTGGACAATTGATCTTCATTTTCGGGAAAGTTTGGCTCACCCTCTATGGCCCTATCCTCCCTAAAGTTGTAGTATATAAAGTTGTAAAGTTGTACTTTGCAATACAGAGAAAGGCTTAATATAGATCAATCTCCAATATTATCTTCATATATGTAGATATAAATTTCATATATGGAATGGACATAGCATCAAATTTGATTCTTTGATACATCTATTTGTTCCGACTCTGAAATAGTCGTCTTACTCTTAGAGTTTTGATTCCTAGATTTTTTGTTATGTCCATCCAACATGAATTTCGGGATCTATCGAAAGAATCAAGATAAAGCATTACGGGCATATTGTAAGAAAAAACACACTTCTTGACCGGGTTAGCCCAAACGCAACTCCATATCAACACCTGATTCCATCATATAATTGATCAGTATCCTTTATATGATGGCTTCACCAAAGCCCTCCAAAAAGGACAGGCCGAGGCGTACTTGCCAACAATTCCACCCAAAATCCCCAACACCCAAAAATGGAAGAAATAGAATTCAAAGGAGGGTTCACCCCACCAAAGCCTTTTTTAAAAATCCAGCCTTTTTTAAAAAGAGAGCATAAGGGAGGGTCGCACCTTCTTGATCCATCATACTAGAGCGATCCGAGAAGAACGATTAGGGTCATATTCTATCCTTGATTACATGCATATAATGCCATTCTGCATTGCTCTCAAGAATTTGATGATATAGAACTCATAGCCTTCACAAATCCTTACCAACACTAACCTGTTATCACTCAAAATAAAGCTCTATCTTTTTCTCAATCTCACCTCTAACCAGTATGGAAAGGATAAAATATGACCATTACAGACCACAACTGGCAGAATTTATATGGTCCTTGCACTCCATGCTAAATAGTTTCTGTTCAATAAGTGTTCAGAAAAACAAAGTGGTTCCCCTCCCCTTATCCAACAACCAACGTTAGTGAAAGAAAAAACACACCTTGTGATTCTATAACCTCACCAAGAATACCCAAAATCAAAACTATAGTAAATTTGAGATTGAAACAAAGATCATTTCAAACATGCTGTGCCCCTACCCCAACAGCCATATAGGGATCCCAAAAATAATACATAAGTATAAGCTGAAGAATTTTAAATGTATTAAAGGAGCTTTTACTTTCCAATTCTCCTTGATTTTAAGGTTTTTCAGTTAATAAAATAGGTAAGTTGTACAATCTTGAACTCAAACGAAACATAACACCAATTATGAGGCAATTAAATGTTATTTTTCTCCACTTCATGAATTGAATGATTTAGATTATGTACACTTTTAAATAACCACCGAATTCTTTTCAAAAAAAAAAAAATGAAGTGAAAGTAACAGACTTCAAATACTCTTAAAAATTCCATTCATAAAAAAGCTCACACTGGTGATGTTCCTTGGACATGGACAACTCAAGGCCAGAAACCGCAGAAAAAACTACATAAAGAAACATATTGTTAGTCAGCAAATAAGAGGACAGAATTGCAAATAAAAGATATGCAACCGGAAATGAAGATTACCAGATATAGCTGGAGTGAGCAGTCCATCCCCAATTACCATGCAAGTACCCAGAAGAACCAAGATCAGCAAAGCAGTGTGCAAGGATTTGTGCTTCTCAAGCAACAATTTCACCCTTGAGCTATTCTCTTTCTCTGGAGGGTGCTCCAGTTTATATGTAGAGAGTGCTTCATCAGCAATTTGACGGTTGGGCAGAAGGCTCACTTTAGCATGCCTGCATATCAAGGAATACAGGGCAAAAGTACCACCTGCAGAATCGTGCACAAGATTCTTCAATTTGATGACCAAACAACTTAAATATCTCTCATTTAATCCAGTTACCAGTACTCACCTTCTCCATTATCATCAGCTCTAAGGACAATGAAGACGTATTTGAAGAGAGGAACTAAAGTTAGAGTCCAGAAGACAAAAGAGAGAACACCAAAAATCTCCTCATTCGTGTCTGAGTGATGAATGTCTTCTGCAAATGTGCTCTTGTAAACATAGAGTGGGGAAATGCTGAGGTCCCCATATACCACACCGAGACTTTGATAAGCTAAGAGCAAAGTGGTCTTCCAATGATCCTTCTGAAACGCCATTCAGCAAGGAATCTTCTCAAACATCCAATGTATATTAAGAAAAGCCAGAGCTTTAAAAACTTCAGAAGTTTGCTCATAAGCATTTTGAAACTGCAAATTCCTGTAAATTGAAGAAGAAGAGCAAATAAACAAACCTTTGAAGTGCTCCAACACTTTCCATCATGAAGATCCATCGTTATAAGACGTCAATCTTCACTCCAAATTCCTGCTACTGGACTCGGCTAGATGCAGATCCTCACTGGAACAAAAGTTAAGGTGAATGTATACTGGAACAAATTGAGAAAAATAATCAAAATGTAGTGAATAAACACCTAGAATGACACCATTTTTTATCTAACCTTTATAACGGCAGCTAAGAGGATAAAAAGAAAGAAAGATTCACCCACTTTGCCACCAACCCATCTCACATTAATACCTTCAGCAGATCGACATTTGTCTAGAGACACCCAAAAAGCAAAGTTATCCCCATTGCTATCGAATTGAGAATGCAAAGGAATTGTAGCTCAGTTAGTTCTCCGTTCATGTGTTTTTTGTGTTTGATGAGAAGGGAGAAAGAAGAAGGGAAAGAAACAGACACCTAACTGTTGCCCTCAAATTAAGCAAGAAAGATAACACGAAATGTTCAACCAATCAAGTGAAAAACCAGAGAGTTCGTTCAATTTACAGGTCAGCTCATAGGAAATTTACAATACACGAGAAAAAAAAACAAAGAAGAAGACGACAAGAGAATGTATAGTGTTGGCAAGGAAAGCAAACATCACATGATTCAACCACAGTTGCACTATCATATCAGCACACCAAGTTGAGCCCACGAAAATAACTGCAGGCTTTAAGGACCATAAAACCCACTCTCTCTCAGTCCCACCCTCCATCTCTCTTCTGTCTTTCTCTCTCTCATGTATGGATATATATAACGTATATAAAAACAATACATATGATATGTTTGATAAAGATAATCTGATAACGCCTAACTCTTACCTAACAGGGAGGATATAATACCAAACATTCATAAGCAAATGGAAAGTTCTCTTTGTGATTGTGTTATCCTTGAATATAAAAATTGGTGTACTTTCCCCAATTTCTAGTTGCATAAACCATAGAAAAATGAATCTAGACATTGCAGTGATGAAAAGGGATTTCCATACCCATAATCAAAAAAAAAAAGGCTTACACAAAGATGATTGAGGAGTGAGGACTCACCAGAACTGATGATAAATCCAAGGTCTGCCCCAAAACGTGAATGAAGATGAACCTTGTGAGAGAGAAAGTGGAGATCCGAAAAGGAGAAGCATCCAGAACCACGTGATTAAAACATGGACTCCTCCATAACTTGTACTACCAACCAACTCCTCCCCTACCCTTCTATTCTTTTTGTTTTTGGGCATGGCTTAAAAGTTTAAACGGACCGTTTTCCTTCCATCTTTGTAACGTAAATCAAAAGCCTACAGAGTAGCTCCTGCTTTTTGTCTTTTTCTCTGCTTTTCAATATAATACCTTTATCTCTAGCTGATCCTGTTAGCGTTAGTCATGAGATTAAACCTTTATTCATTTGTAAATCTCAATGGATTTTTGCAGATAGTCAAAGATTTACAGTAGTATTTGCAAATCCGTACTAAAAAAAACAGTAGATGAATATGGGTGTCTCTTTAATACGAGTTAAACTTTGGAGGGAGGGTCTTTTCAGCCATTAATGCTCTCGTTATAGCTCAGTTACAAACCTTCCATATCCATAATAACAACAAACCAAAACCAAAACGAACAAATGCTGAGAAACGCAGTGACACGCTATAGCTTCATTTATATGTTAAACCAAACATCTCTCTCTCTATCTAGAGTCCAAACACCTCCTATCTTCTTGAACTTCTCGAGGAAAATCTATCTTATCTCTATGCCATGCTGGCCTGAGTCAATAAAAAATGATTCTCAACGTCACCCACCATCTCAAATTCTCAGCGTCACCCACTATACGCTATGTTGTTTGTACACGATCTATGGATTAATCGGGCATTGTAAAATATAAACATTTGAAGCTCTGATAAAGTTGAAGATACTGTAGTCTAGGAAGGGGTGATTTGGAAGGATTTGCGGAGAGAGAAAGAGTGTGTGTCAGTGACTCAGTGTACACACAGATGAGAACATGGGCGGGAAATCGAATTCAACTTCAAGTGAAGGTTTTTGGGGGGTATCTGTTTGTTTATTTGTGGAGATATTCATATTATACTCGCCGGCCTCGGTTTACTGGTTGTAATTGTATATTCTTATATTCCGACCGTCACAGTCGAGAGGAATGAGTGTTTATACGTCATACTCTTGTTGAAAGATTCTTCGGACTAACTTACGCCATTAATCCCAAGTTATTCTCTTACATTTTTTATTTTTGAGAGAGAGAATTGTAAAATTTTTAATAAATAATAATATAATATAATATTTATTTAATTTAAAAACTTAATTAAAGATCTAATGCATTGTTGTCGTTGATTAAGTAAAATAAGATTACATTTAATATTGAGATCAATTATTAATACAATTATGTCAATATATTATATTGCCAAATAAAAACCGCGAATTATATGACAATAATATTTTATTTTTAACGATGGTAAAATTAAAAACTTTGAACTAATAATGAATAAAAAAAAATGTGGCATAGTGTGCAGCAATGTTATCAGAACTGGACCGGTCATCGAACCAGCAAGGGGACCGGGTCAATGGTTCACTGGTTCAACCGTTAGGTCAACTGGTCGGACTGGTCATATAATAAAAATATATATATAATAATTATAAAACTTAATAATTTAGCTAAAAAATATAAAATATGTATAAAATTAAGTAACAAAGTAGGGGTTATTGTATTTTAAAGCAAAGTAAAGAGGTTCAAGTAAATTATAAAGAAAAATAAAGGGTGTCATTTATAATTTATCCAAGCATAAAAAAAATCAGCTATTTACTGATTTAGGGTAAAAAAATTTATTTATGTAATTTAATTTTTAAATAGGCATTAAACCGTTCGATTTTTATAAAATCGGTGGTTTTCGGCTTTTTACAAAAATCGGCCGAATTTCTAATTTTTAGCCAGTTCGCTTCCTTAAGCGGTTCAACTAAGGAACCGGACCGGTTAGGGTCCCGGTTCACGGTTGAACCAGTCCGACCGACCATTTCGGTCCGATTCTAATAACACTAGTGTGCAGGTTCCTATTATAAGATGTGTAGGAATGATCAGATGTATACAACTTATGTGTGTATGTGAGATGATATATTCACGACTTAAAATTATTGATACTTAGGTTATAATAGAGAAAATATTGTTTTTGTAATTATTATTCATTAATTTCCACAGTATGAAAAATAAATTGACAATAGTGAAAGAGAGGGAGCAATATATATAAAGAGAGGGCAAAGAATTTTACAATAATTTTTAAACATTTTTTGAGGGATACAACTAAATAATATTATTAGGTTCACTTAATTAATAGCAAAAAAATAATAATAATTCACATATAAAAAATAAATGAATAAATTTGAATGGGTGAGATTGTTTTGTGGGGGCAAATTTAAAATACTCTAAAACCTATACAATTTCAACTTTGTTATTAGTACATATACTATTCAATTTTATTACATCTCGAACTATTTATTTTCGTATTATGTTTGTGTTGATCTATATAATCCATAAATAAAAAATTTAACGTTTAGTTTTATGTTTAAAATTTCATTATCACTTTATCGAACCTATACTCATATTTTTAAAATAAACTAAAAATTAACTTAATAAATATAATAATAAAAATGAGTAAAAATATATATATTTTTGTACAAAAATTAGGTCACTATTGATTAAATATAATAAAAATTTAATATTTTATTCTTATAATACTACTTAAACGTGTAAATCGTGACAATTTCGTGTTGTTCTGGTTTGATACTACTCCAACTCATTTATTATTCGTGTTAACAGGGTGTATCATATGAGTTCGTGTTGATAAATGATCAACCTTAACCCGTTAATTTCATATTGATTTCTACACGTATTTTTTGTGTCGTGTCAGAAATTATCACCTCTATTTTCGCGTTGTGTAATGTCCATAATTTCGGGTCATTAACTTCGTGAAAAATATGTAAACTTTTTGCATTACTGTTTCTTATGATAAATAAATTTTCAGTAACGTAAAGATAAATAAATTCAAAATACGTGGTAATAGAAAAGGCAGTGAAAGCTTTGCCAATTTCAATTTTGTTGCAAAAATAGTCCCATTAGTTGAAGGACTCTCGAATTTATATTGTATTAAACTTTTAACCTGTTATGTGAGGCTGCAGTGTCAAAAACGAAGTTTAACACTATAACTTAGCCTCGGCATAGTCCAATAGAGATAAAAATGAATTGTAAATCAAGAGGTCTTAAGTTTAAAATGCTGTAATTTTTTTAAGGTCAAACCATAAAAAATTTATTTTTCACAAATTCTTTTATTTTTGCATGGATGATCTGTGTTTGACCAGACAAAAATAAAATTTGATGATATTATTAACACGATTGAGCAATAGTGTTAATATAAAGTGTATTGAATAGTTGGATTCAGTTCAGTCTAAGCTCCAAAGCTCTAGGCAATAGGATTTAGAAATAAGTAAGTGATTACGCAAACTGTTTATTGTGGTTTATCAGTCCGGGAGTTCGGCTAATCCACTATTAAGAAATTTCTTGCTCCTGAATATATTGATTACTGAGAGAAGTGCACAGAGAATATTTTGTAAAGGTACAATGACACTTTTTTTAACTTTCGAAGGTTTTACCTCATATTTATAACTATTCATCGGTCTTGCTTGATTTAAGGCGAGATTATCGCTTCTCCCTTATAACGGTCGCTCTTATTGCGCAGCGAAGCTTGTGCTTGTTGGGTGATTGATGCCACAAAAAGGGGAGACTTGGTGGGGTCCAACTGTTCTATACACAACTTTCCTCGAGACGTGGGCATGGAGAGTTGAGGTCTGAGGTCAAGATTTATAAATAATATGAAAAAGCTAAGCTTTTGACCTAAGTAGTATGACCTGAGATACCGAGCTCATTATTAAGTATTTTGTAGGACTATCAAAATTAAATATGTACAAATTAACCCGAACACCCTTAAATACAATAAAATAAAAAAGAAGTTTGACAAGTAAGCCTACTTAACTAGATGTGTTCTACTTTCTTTTTCTAGTTGTTCAGTACCTGCCCACTATCAATAATGTTCGAAATAATACTTACAACGATTTGTCAAAAAGTGGGTAAGGCTAAATCAAATTGCAGGGTAGAGTCAAAGACAAGGGTCCACTGTACAATGCATATCCCAAAAATGTATTGTAATACATTGATTATTATTATATGTTTCCCCACTTTGAATGTATACAACATAGGGAAAGAGTTACAATGAAAGACACCCACATGTATATATTTTGATGTGAACCAATGTATTAACATTATAGTATATTTTCCATATTATGAATAATAATATTTTAACAAAATCATTTATTAATGGGATGGTGAGTAGAGGAAAAAGGATAACAAGAGTATTAAAAGAAATTGGATAAATTTCATAAATACCCTTTAAACTATGACTTTTGTTTTAAAATGACCTATAAAATTTTCATCTGCTCCAATATATCTCTGTTGCACTGTGAAATTGATCTCAATTGTCACATTCTATTAATTTTAGATGTTAAATATTCAATTAACGGAAGGTGCGTGCTAATAGAATTTGTGCAATGTAATGTCTAAAATTAACTAAATGGTGTTAATTGAAATCAATTACATAGTTCAAAGGGTAAATTGAAAAAAAAAATTAAGGGCCATTTTAAAAATAGATGTCATAGTTTAAGGAGTATTTATGAAAAAAATTTGACATAAAAAACAAAAAAGAGATAGGGAATAACACATTGCCTATCTTTTTTTGTTTAATAGTCAGCAAAAATTCAGACGAACTTGCGTGCACATCAACTAATCTCCTCCCTCATCCAGTCAAAGATAAACTATTAATCCAAAACTAAGACATTCACGAGATCATAAATCTCTCAATGATGAATTTAGAGGGATCATTACCTCTTCAAGAATTTAAAGAATTACTTTTAGGATATTATTATTAGTGACTTTTATTTTCAAATTATACAAATCCGTTGTTTAATGTCTTCAAAAATTTAATTACGATTTTTACATACATCTATCTTGTCTTTTAAATACAAGACTAAAAACCTCAAAATTTGAAAGGGTGGCTTAAAAAGATATTAAAAAAAAATTATGAGGGTGTTTTAATCTAAACAATAATTAATGGGTAAGGGCGGAGCCAGGATTTTTGTTTATCCCGAGTTAAGCTAAGCATTCATACGACTAACAAAATACAAATATAAACTCATAAACACTTTCTAATGAAATTGGACTTTTCAACCATTCCTAGAACAAAAGACATATATTATTAAATATGTATCAATTGCTTTCGTTATTTTTCTTTCAATGTATATAACTAATGAATCAGTCGAATACTCATCTTCCATCTTGTTCCGAATAGTACTGTTGACATGTTTCATGGCTGAAAATTCTATTTCTGAAGTTGCCGTAGAAACGGAAAGAGTTAAAATAAGACGAATCAACCTATAAATCAAATTGTATGACTCTGCTTTATTTGTTTCCACTAAACCATTACATAATTCTGAAATTATAGACATACTTTGAAATCTCTCATGGCGAACCACATCAAATCAATAATGATCCAGTTGATATTTCAAATGATACATGTCTTGTCTATCAAAATCAGTAGCATAAAATTTCTCAGCAAGTAAACAAATACGATCATGATTGAAAGATTTAAAGTTGTCCCGAGGATCTAAAACAGAGTTTAGCATAAACAATTCCATTGTCTATTCATTGAATCTACTATGTAACTCTTCTAACTAATGATCAATCGTAGCATTAAATATGTCCATGTGATATTGCTGATCAATTGTAATGTTATCATTTTGTTGACATGAACATTTTGCCCATTTGTACTGAGTGCTCATATAAGGTATATCAACATCAAATTTCATGCAAATTGATTTCACATGGTCAGGGAGATAATCAAAACCTTCTGCTCGCAAGGTTTGAAGCAATGATTTTGTCGATGAGACTAAATTCATTGCATTCAAAATATCAAATGTTTTTATGCTGCAATGCCCAACAAAAAGTATATCCGTAATCCCTATAATTTTGTGCATAAGATGCAATATAAATATGAAATCGAAGGACTTAATTGTCATTAAAGAACCACCAACTTTTCCACGAATTATATTTGAAGATCTTTCATTAATCATACTTTTAAACACACTAATAATAGCATCATGTATATCTATCAGACCGCAAATGGATTAAAAATGTGAATATGTGGGTTAAATATCTATTAGACTGCTAACCCATTTTTTTGTTTTAAATGGGTTAAACTTTTTAATTTTTTTGGATAAATAATGTGAGCGTAATATAAATGAGGGACACACATAATATATTATATAAATATATAATAAATATACCCTACTAATAATTTTTTTTTTTTTAGGGGGGCACCTGTCCACCTTGCCCCAGCTGTCCCTCCGCCACTACCTAATCTCTTATCTGTTCCGATCAAAATATGAATAGAAAATTCTGAAAAACTCTTTATTTCCATGATTATTGGAGTTAAATCCTAAGGGTTTTAAAAAATTGGGGTAATAATTAATAATTTAGTGGACCGATACTAATAAACTTGTATGAAAATAATAATATATATATATATTTTTTTACTAGGGGCTTCGGCCACCATAACTCATTAATGGCTCCATCCTTGTTAATTGGGATATAATCCATATGAATAAGGCAAGGACCCCAGCATAATAGTCATTTTGACCACCATAAATTATACTTAATTACGTAAAGAGCTAATTAAGAATTAGATAAAGTTTGGTGCTTGCATGAGCAGCTTCGTCATTCCTTTGTTTTGCGTGTCTTCTTCTTGCCTTTTTTCTTCTTCGCCACATATTCTCTCACTGCCCTGAAAACTGGAGAGACAGAGACTAGTCCACTAATGGCGAAGACCACTGGTTTTCTTTATATGGCGTCTATACATATGTTGGTTCTGTATCTATTTATGATCTCACTGACTGTCTCAGCTCGGGTGTTGCCACTACACCCTGGATTGACAGACCAAGGAAAACCCATTTCGGATATTTTTGATACTTCCAAGTATGGTATACTTCAAATCAACAATGGCTTGGCTCAAACTCCTCAGATGGGGTATAATTTACTCTTTTCAACTCTTTTTTCTTTCTTGTTACCGCACCTTCTTGTTAGTTTTCTGTAGTTTTTTCCTTCTCAGTTGGTTTTTTCCTTTCTCCTGACTCGTTACAAGAAAGTCAAAGCCTGTTTATGACTTTTTTGATATGAAGATTCAATTTGACTTATGTGTGTGATCCAAATTTAGGAGCTGGGTTTTGCACATGCATTTGAATTTTTCATTGTTCGTGATTGTTTTGTCCATGTTGACTTATTTTTCTATAGGATTATGCAGAAACATTGGTATTCTATACTTATCCAACCAGTTTGAGTATTTAACCTATGTGTGTATGTGAACTGGAATTAGGAGTTTGTTTTGTATGTGCATTTTAGTTTTTGAATTTCTTTGATACAAAGTATTGCCTCATCAATTGAAGGATTTAACTCCATAGATGTATTTGGTGACCAAGATTACGAGGTGGGTTTTGCATACAGAGTCTTTGGTTTCTGAGATTAAATTGATTACATGTATATATGAGCTCATATTAGGAGTTAGATTTTGCATAAGCATTTGAGTTTTTGCTATTAAGTAGCTATTTTTTTTTTCCATTCGAGTTATGCTTGGTGCCATGAAAATGAAAAATCAAAGTCATATTTTCATGCGGGGCTATTGAAGGATTGGATAAATGTTTGTTTGAATCAAGAGAACCGAGTTTGCTTTTGCTTGTGCATTTGAGCCATCAGTTTTCTTTGGTTGGTTTTCCATTTTGATTTGTGTTGAAGTATATAAATACTTAAGTTACACATTCTCTAACAGCTTAAGGTTTTGGAGTAGATGGTTGTATAAGATGATATCAGAGCAGGAATCCTGTATTCGAATTTCGTTGCCACTCTAATTAAAGATTTTTACGTGCTAGGTCCAAAATATATCCCGCACGTGAGGAGACGTCATGAAGTATATAAATACTTAAGTTACACTCCATCCATCAGATTAAGTTTTTAGAGTAGATGGTTGTTTAACAACTTATGTTTTGTTTATGGATACAAAGATAGATAGATGAATTCAGAATTCTTCTTTTATACCTCTCAATTTGAAATTTGCCCAAGGGGGCAAAATGTACTAATACAAAGAAAATTGTATGTTCAGATGTGAAAAAATATATTAAGATTCAAGACTAAATTAATTTATGAAATGACAAAACTAGTTTTCATTTAGGCTAAACTAAACCTCAATAAAAAATAGGACTAAATATACAATTGTTCAAAATTTTTTTTTTTTTTTTTTGGGGGGGGGTTGTTGTCAAAGGTTATAAATTGAACAAAATTATAGTAAAAAATATGACAAAATGAAGAAGATCCACCTCTAGTCCTAACGTGGCTTTGCCATTGATTCGCATGTGTACAAATATATGCTTTTGGAATTTAGTTTACAATTTATCGTTCTGGGTTGAATTCCAGATATTTTGTTTCTATTTTAACAAATATGATTGATTTGTTCTGATTTATGTGTGGGACAGATGGAATAGTTGGAATTTCTTTGCTTGTAATATCAACGAAACAGTTATCAAGGAAACAGGTATTTTTCTCATTTTTGGTTAGACTACATGAATTTTGGTTGTTTTTTTGATTAAAGAGAGAGTGTTTGATACTGGGAGAACTAGTAGTTGCAAACTTGCACGGCCATCGTGGTCAGCACAGGGAAAGTGAACATAGTGACTTTTTCTCTCTCGTGGTAAGTAAGGAGCATCTGTTGTCCAAAGTAGTTAGGAATAAAATGGAAATAAATAGTTCCCTGTTTGAAGCAATCTTGGAAGTTTTGAAGTGCTTACGAAAGGAAATGGTGCATAACCATTGCTGGGGCTGTTTTGATGTTTACATGTGCGTAACACAATCATCTGAAGCAACTAATTGGATATCGCCACTTGAAAGAGTCTAGAAGAAACAAAAACAGCTCACAAGTACATCTACACTTAGAAAAATCCTATGTGAATGAGGAATTTTTTCCTTTCGTTGTATGTAATACCAAGAATTCTCACAACTTATTAGGCCTTATAAATGTGCGTTTGAACCAGTTCATTTCTTGTGTCAATTTATTAATGTGCCTCTCTACAAAATTTATGCCTGCAACAGCAGAGGGGTCGATGGTGCCATAAAAGTTAATTAACTTGAAAGCATGTATAAATATCTACGCTCACGCGAGAATTCCATTCACATTATCCTGGATTCTAAACTCAAGGGAGATGCTACTACTTTGTTTTTTTTTTTTGTGGGGTAGGTTGGGGGGCGATAGACAAGTTAATAAAACTCTTTTGTTGTTCTCAGATCTGATAATTATGTCGCACAGTTTTCTGATTCCTCTCCTCAGTGCATTTCTCAGAATAACTAACATATGTTGTTGTCTTTGACAGCTGATGCGCTAATCTCAACTGGTTTGGCTGACTTAGGTTATATATACGTTAACATAGGTAGAGTTCTTACATGCTTTAACTGTTTAGTTTCGATCTACTTATCTGTTTTGAACGTGCTCATTTTCATCTAATGCAGATGATTGCTGGTCTGGTCTGAAGCGAAATTCAGAGGTCCATTTCTATATCCCTCTAACTTCAATTACTTTGGTTATTTCACATAATTCTTATTTTTTGCTGACAATGGTACATATTAGGTGTCTACAGAGAACAAAAGTCTTTCTGTTTTCATAAAGTACTATTTGTTGGTATCCCTCTTCTATTTTAGGAGCATTGATAAAGAAGAATATGCAAGTCATCAGAGTGATTGCAGTGACATACAATTGCAATCATACATTAAAGCAGTTTCAATATAAAGAAGTTGTTTACAAATTAAAGCATGGAAACTGTAAACAGAATAAGGTGCTCGTATGTTTTTGTGATCATAGCTTGGTTGATGGTGCAGGGTCAGTTAGTTCCACATCAAAAAACTTTTCCATCAGGAATCAAAGCTCTTGCTGATTATGTGCATGGAAAGGGCCTCAAGCTCGGTATCTACTCTGATGCTGGGTAGGGTGAATTTCCAAATACTGATCAGAATATTAGAAGTTATGTGACAATCAAATGTCTATTTTGTTATCACCATGTGCGCCATAGTGCTTCTATATCTCTGTTCTCTCTCCACTTACTCGATCAATTGAACCTTTTAGGCTTTTCACATGCCAAGTTCGGCCTGGGTCACTGCACCATGAATACGATGATGCACAGCTCTTTGCATCTTGGGCAAGTTTGTTTTTCTTTTCTTTTTTTCCCCTATAAATTTTGGAATCTCATTAGATAGGAGGTTAGTGATGAGGGTATTTATTTATTTGGATTTTCATTTATGGTTTCATTTTATTTGAAGTTCAACTCTATACTAGTGACCCGTAGCAAAATATACAAAGTCTAATAAGAATATATGTACAATACAACTCTTAAAACACTAATGTAACGGTTGTGACCTTTTACATAGTGTGACATTGAAGGATTCGTGATGGCATGGAAAACATAACAGTTCAATGTCACGCAAATGAGATCTAGTGTTACCATTTTCTTTTATGAGATCTTTTCTGTAACCACTATAGATAATACCTTGTGCTGTGACTTGATATTATTCGTGTGGTGCATTCTCTAGGGAGTGGATTATTTGAAGTATGATAACTGTTTCAATCTGGGCATCAAACCACAGGAGAGGTACTACCCTAATTTAGTGGTGTAGAAATTTTAACGTCATAAGTGTGGAGAACTAATATAAATTTGGTCTGATAATTTCCAGATATCCACCAATGCAAGATGCTCTAAATGCAACTGGCCGCACCATTTTCTATTCAATCTGTGAATGGTGATTTCCATTTCCTAAATCCATCATCTAGATATCCAAGTTCTTAACCTGCACCTTTTTTTTTTGAACGGTCTCAATCTGCACCTTAGTGGCACTCTTTGGCCTTTTCTCTTTTGAATTGGCAGGGGTGTTGATGAACCGGCCCTGTGGGCAGACAAGGTTGGAAATAGTTGGCGAACAACAGAAGACATCGAGGATTCATGGGGAAGGTTCTAAATTTCTTGACTCTTTCTCTTATATAGTGCATGTAATACAAAAAATCCATTCAGTTTCAAGTGTCAGAGATCTGACACACCCACAATATGAGTTTTTAGTCTTCTTTGAAATATTTTCCTGTTTTTCAAGAAGTTATTGGAAACAAGAAGTATTTTTTTTCTCGTTCAACACTATGAAAGAGTGGTAATCTGAAGTTGAGGGTTGTATTGTCTGATCTTTTTATTTTCAACAAAATAGTTTGGGGTGAGAATTCATGCTATAAAGCTGTCATCTTCAGTGATGAACAATGAAGGCATTTTGGTAATGTGCTTCCCCACTTGCCATGTCTTACCCTGATAACAAGTGTCTAGATTCAAAGCAAGCCAATCCAGGGTTGAGATTGTTCGAGTCTAAAATCAAAACAAATTTTAAGATAAAAAAAGATGGTATGAATGGTATTTGACCCCTTTTCATGGTTCAAGTGTTTTTTCCTTACTCTTGCAATACAATATCACTTGCATTCATTTGAGAATTTTTACCCTCTTAAAGAGTGTAAGATGACTAATGTTGCTCGTGCTTGTGATCATATCCTTCAGTCTAAAATGTCTCAACAAAATTTTTAAGATATGTACTTGGTCATGTACATTTAGTACTAGATCCACCCGCTAAATTTTCATTGATTGAGCTTTTGTTTTTTTTCTTTGTTTAGCATGACCACCATTGCTGATCTGAATGACAAATGGGCAGCCTATGCGGGACCTGGTGGATGGAATGGTAGGAATCTTATCTCTGTAATGACACTCAGTGAAGGTGGCCCCACCTGTCAATGGCATTCTGAATTTTCATTCCTCATATCCACCTTTCTGGCAGATCCAGATATGTTAGAAGTTGGCAATGGGGGCATGACTTACCAGGAATACAGAGCACATTTTAGCATTTGGGCGTTGATGAAGGTGATTTCTTTCTACCTCTGGATTTTTATTATTTTCTGTTCTAATTTCTCTCCTGCTCCAGCTCCTGAGGGTCATTGTAGTTGAATTAGCTCATCATTTAACATTATAATGATGGTTGCAATTCTTCTTTTGGCATTTTCAAGCTTATATAGAAATTATTCTAATCATGCCAATTTTCATTTACATTGTTCTATACGTCATTTTTTGCAAACTTTTTATCCTTTATGTTTATTGCACCGTGGTATCATATTCAGATTTCAGGATGTTCCTGATCCCAATCCTTGTGTCCTGCTTGAAACTGGGAATGCTAGTATCTTTCAGATGTCATGGGCTGCCTTTAAGCAATCAATATAAAGGAACATCAATCTGATGGATAGAACAAAATTCCGCTCTCTCCTCTAATCTTCAGAGTTCCTTTACCTTGTGACAAACTTTGATTCCTTTTAGTGCTGACAAACTTGGATACGCAGGCTCCGCTTTTGATTGGTTGTGATATAAGAAACATGACTGCAGAAACACTTGAAATTATAAGCAATAAGGAGGTCATTGCGGTTAACCAAGGTAAAAAGCTTTATTTTGTGCTTATCTGTATGCCTGTATATATGTGCATGCCCTTTTTTGTGTGTTCCAGAGGGAGAAGAAAAGAGAAGTGGTTTAAGCAGTTTATAGCTCCATTTTCTGGCATCGAACCATTTATTTTAATGTGCTCGTTCTGGGGACCTCGTGTCTTTTTTTTGGGGTAAATTTTCTTTCCCTCTTATCGTTTCGAGAAAATCAAGCACAAATCTTGTTATCTTTGCAGACCCACTTGGAATTCAGGGAAGGAAAGTTTATATTTCTGCAGCAGATGATTGCCTTCAGGTATTACCCTCTTTTGCCCATCTATATCATCTTTGTGATAATTACAACAGAAAGTCTAATCACATCTTTGATGACACTTAATCTACTGCAGCTTGTCCTCACTGATCTCTAAAATTTGAACCTATGATGCAAAACGTTGACTCGTCATGAAACCATTCTTTTACAGTGGTTTATATGCAATAACTATGCTGTAGTGTGAAAAAGTCATGTCTTTAGAGAATGCATCAAATCTTCACACTACAAGCTTCCTCTTTTTACCGACAATTTGTTTTAGTTTCACACATCTTCTCTTCCATTAGTTACTGGACTAATTATAGAACTCTAAAGAATGTGGAAGATTTCTTCTTAAGATAGTGAAGAAAACAAAGAGACAAAGAAAATGGCATGAAGTAAGACTTAGGGGAGCTGCTTAAGAAGCCATAAAGGCCCTAATATGAGACTTAAAATTAGTTGCACTTTTAGCTGGAGAAGGGGCGTCAATCTGTGAATCCTTCATGAAATAAATAATTTCTTCCCAAGCAATATCCATGTTTTTCTTTTTGGGTATTTGTTCTTCTGTGAAAGACAAGCAAAAAAAAAAAAAAACTATGGATAATGATTTTGTATTCAGGTTTGGGCTGGTCCTTTATCTGGACAACGTTTGGCCGTTGCTCTCTGGAATCGGTGTTCAAAAGTTGCAACTATTACAGTTGGATGGGGTTCTCTTGGGCTCGAATCTTCTACCAGTGTCTCTATAAGAGACTTATGGAAGGTGAGAAATTGGCCTGCATTGGTGTGTGAGACTTGTTTGATATCCTCAGAAAAATACTCTAGCAAAACATTGAGGCGTTAATTTCACAATATAAACTTCTGAACTATCATTTGCGTATCAGGTGCCCTCCTCCTCCATCTTAAGAGTTTCCCTGGTCTTGTTCTGTTTTGGTATCAAATTTGAGTATGGGTAGATGAGCTTAATGATAGCTCTTTAGAGATATCAACTTTTAACTTTGTTTTCTCGTCCTTTTTTTTTTCTGTTCCTTGTGGCTGCATTCACTTGTCAGGTTTAAGTTGGCAATCACCACGATAAATTGACTAGGTGTTGGTGCAATCCTGTTTCTGTTTAAGCATTCAGATACAACTGTAATTACTCAAAACCAGATAACATTGGCAGTTCTGCATATTTTCGGTTTTTTTAAATATTTCATTAATTATTTTTGGTTTGGACTTCTCAATATATATTTGTTTGTTCTTATGGTTGCAGCACGAAGATATTTCATCAAATACGGTGGACTCCTATAGCTCCCAAGTTGATGCCCACGACTGCGAAATGTACATTTTCACTCCTCAGACAGGGTCTCTCTCAGAAATATAATACTATTATTAAGGTTCTTCTCATGGCTCGGTGGATTTTCAGGCTGGCTGTGAAGCTTGGACATACAAATCTGTACACATACTCTTCCACTTTGTGATTGCACAGAATACTTGGATACAAATGTATAAGGAAAGATTGAGAACCCTTTTCGGTATGTGTTGTGAACGCTTTCACTTTTAGCATCTCATCTTCTCTAGAGAAGCAAAACTTGAATGGTAGAACATATGGTCTTTATTTTTTCATTACTTCCATGGTTGTGCCTCATGGCATGTCAACATCCATACTATTGAAATGGTTCGTCAGTAGAAATGTTCCCATAGGTGTCCCCTTTTCCAGAGCAAGTCGACCTATTCTATTTCCAGATATATTTGGGAGAAGCTCATCTGAAACTAGTAGTTTTGACACGATTCAGGCGAAAATGACTGAAGCACAATCAACCAGGAACATCTCCTGGACTTACAGTACCTTCTTCCAATGGTACTATAATATCTATTCCAATCTCTTCATTCCCTCTTTTGGTCTACCTATATTCCAAGGAAATTCATATGCTCTATGGACAGAGAAAAAAGTGGAGTTACGGTCAAAGCAAGCTGCCCTATTCTATTACCATACATAATTGGGAGAAGCTCATCCGAAACTAGTAGTTTTGATGTGATTCAGACGTTTCCTCGAATGACTGAAGCACAATCGAACAGTAACATCTCATGGACTAATTAGTACTGTGTGTGCGCGCGCGCGCGTCTTTCTGTGAATCGAGCTACTACCAACAATATTTTCTTCCCTTCTTTATGGTGAAATATGGCTTATGACATGTAGGATTATGGATCTGGAAAACTATACTTCGATACTTGATCAGACATGCCTGAGCAAATCTATATTCACGACGATCTAAACTATCAACAAATTCTTTGTTAGGCTGCATATTCATTGGGAACCAGTGATCTCCTTCAATACAGAGTAACATCATCCTTGAAAGTTTCATGCACTTCACATTTGTGTAATTCTATAAAACAGGAGGTGGACTGGAAGAGGTCAAACTGGAGTGTGAAGAGGCCTTACCAGAGAAGAAACCATGGCAGCTTTCAGCTTATTAAAAGCTTAAACATTCTCCCCATAATATCATACTAGATTTGATCCTCTACAAATGTTTAGCTAAAAATGTGTGTGTGTAAGAGAGAGAGAGAGAGCGAGATTCTACCGCGTCATACACTAAACAGGCATGATCAACAATTCAACATGATTCTGGTCATTAAACAAACAACCCGATGTTTATCATCTTTATTAGTATTAGTTCATGTACAAACCATCATTTGCATCTATGATCACCTCCAAATTAGTAAGGGTCAATGGAGGTCTAAAGTTATGATTTGGAAAAGAAATGATAATATTATTGAAATCTAGAAGGGGAAGGGGTGTTGCTCTGCAATCAAAGTTAGTGACTGGACAAGAGAGTGAGCTTATATGTCAGCAGCATCTTCATACCATCATTCGACTATAGAGCTTCTGGCTTAAGGGGGGGGAAGTCCTTGTCATCTTCTAGCTGGTATGAGTGAACAAGAGCCCTGAAGCGATGAATCAGAAGACATTTTAACATTATCTCAACTATACAAGAACCAAAAAAAAAAAAAAATACTATTTGAGAAATTCCTTACGTTTCTTTATCAGGCTCTAATAAATTTGATGGCTCCTGAGCTGCAATAGTTAAGACGTTGAGCATAGAATCAACAGTGGCTGAATCGTCGTAATCTGCATGCTTCCCTTCCACTGGTGAAGGCAGCCCAAAAGTCCTAAACTCAATACTCTTTGAGCAAGGTGACGATTTTGAGGCCACCGGGGACTCTGTAGTGGTATGAACGGACTGATGATTTGCTGATGCGATAACCTTCTTACAGCTTGGAAGAAGAGGGAAATCTTCTAGTGACAGATCAAAACAGCTGCTGCTTGCGTCCTTTTCTGGTTCTGAGGAAACATCAACCTCCTCAATGTTAAGAGAAGATTTCAGCAAAAAGCCTTGGTTTTGGGGTTGATAACTCTCACTGCTCTCGCAAGAACGATGTGCCTGCAATTTCAAGAATAGGCATACTTAAGGATCACAACGCCAGTCTCTCTCTCTCCGGAAAGGTTCAATCTCATTGTTTACCAAATGACAAGCAGGATAAATTCACAAAAATATCAAATTTAAGAGATATTCCTACATGAAAAGAGAGTGTGCCAGTTCCTTGTGTCTGTTCTTCAACACTTGTACTAAGTATGTATTTTCCAAGTGCTGGAGCCTTTGCCTTTTCTTCTATATCCATTGCAGGGACACAAGTACCCGTTCCTCCCAATTTAAAATTTCCTACAATGCCAATATCAGAGATGTCACAGACTGTTCCTTGAGACCTCAACTCTTTCTCAATACCTATATCAGGTCCTGATGTCCCTATATCTTGCAACTTTAACTTCTCTTCAAGACCCATATCATGGACACACGTACTTTCTCCTTCAAAAACCATATGAGGGCCCAATGTACCTTTGCTCTGTGGCTTCAACTTCTTTTCAATACCTTTGTCGGGGATATATGTGCCAGTTCCTGTTGAATTCGACTCCTCTTCAACGCTCGCTCTATTTGCTGTTTTGTGAACAACCAAAGTATTAAATAGTTGGGTAGCATTTGAATGGCAAAGTGGTCTTGGGACAAAATCATTTGTATTGCTCAGAGCAGAAATATTCCAGCTGGACTGCATATGTGCACTCCTGTTCTGAACCAGAGAAGGTGATGTTGGCAGGCAGGGCGGGAAAGGNCAAAAAAAAAAAAAAATACTATTTGAGAAATTCCTTACGTTTCTTTATCAGGCTCTAATAAATTTGATGGCTCCTGAGCTGCAATAGTTAAGACGTTGAGCATAGAATCAACAGTGGCTGAATCGTCGTAATCTGCATGCTTCCCTTCCACTGGTGAAGGCAGCCCAAAAGTCCTAAACTCAATACTCTTTGAGCAAGGTGACGATTTTGAGGCCACCGGGGACTCTGTAGTGGTATGAACGGACTGATGATTTGCTGATGCGATAACCTTCTTACAGCTTGGAAGAAGAGGGAAATCTTCTAGTGACAGATCAAAACAGCTGCTGCTTGCGTCCTTTTCTGGTTCTGAGGAAACATCAACCTCCTCAATGTTAAGAGAAGATTTCAGCAAAAAGCCTTGGTTTTGGGGTTGATAACTCTCACTGCTCTCGCAAGAACGATGTGCCTGCAATTTCAAGAATAGGCATACTTAAGGATCACAACGCCAGTCTCTCTCTCTCCGGAAAGGTTCAATCTCATTGTTTACCAAATGACAAGCAGGATAAATTCACAAAAATATCAAATTTAAGAGATATTCCTACATGAAAAGAGAGTGTGCCAGTTCCTTGTGTCTGTTCTTCAACACTTGTACTAAGTATGTATTTTCCAAGTGCTGGAGCCTTTGCCTTTTCTTCTATATCCATTGCAGGGACACAAGTACCCGTTCCTCCCAATTTAAAATTTCCTACAATGCCAATATCAGAGATGTCACAGACTGTTCCTTGAGACCTCAACTCTTTCTCAATACCTATATCAGGTCCTGATGTCCCTATATCTTGCAACTTTAACTTCTCTTCAAGACCCATATCATGGACACACGTACTTTCTCCTTCAAAAACCATATGAGGGCCCAATGTACCTTTGCTCTGTGGCTTCAACTTCTTTTCAATACCTTTGTCGGGGATATATGTGCCAGTTCCTGTTGAATTCGACTCCTCTTCAACGCTCGCTCTATTTGCTGTTTTGTGAACAACCAAAGTATTAAATAGTTGGGTAGCATTTGAATGGCAAAGTGGTCTTGGGACAAAATCATTTGTATTGCTCAGAGCAGAAATATTCCAGCTGGACTGCATATGTGCACTCCTGTTCTGAACCAGAGAAGGTGATGTTGGCAGGCAGGGCGGGAAAGGAATGGGTAAGCTATACTTGTGAAATCGTTGGCCATAATTCAGGCCACTAAACTGATTGTCATAGTCTCCACTGAGATTAGAGATTAGAAATTTTCCAGTACCAAACAATGAGACAGGGACTTCTACACCAAGCCTTTGCCCCCTCCCATTCCTGTTCAATGTGTTGATGAAAAACTTTTTTAGTCCCTCAACCATGCTTTCTCCCGGACGCATGAGGATCTCTCTGAGCTGTTGAGCTCCATAGGAAAAAGCAAATCTTATACGAAAGGAACTGCCTGTTGGAAACAGGTGGATCACCATTAGCAAACCAACAAAACGAATTTGTAAGGATTTAACAGAGGACCAATAATGAAGGGTTTTTGCATTCAACCTCTTACAGGTGCAGTTTCTCTTATATGTGGATCAACAATCCAGTTTAATAACTTCTTCCGGTCTTATCCTCATTTAATACTGTACCCCTTTTGCCAATTAATGCATGTCAAAATTCTTATTTCAGAAAGCGTGAAAATTACTTTGTGAATTTTGTAGCATCATAACTCACCAACTTCATAAACTCCAGAGGAATTTCCAAAATGGCAGATAAAAGTTTTACAAATAATCCCCATAGTGAGGATCCTCTATGGAGAACAAAGGACAATTTTTAATCCTCATCAGAATTCAGATATCCTCTCAAAGAACAACTAACAAGATTTTTCAATGTCTGTTAGTTACGTGGATGATCTTCCAGCAGATGAAATATTAGATGATTTCTATTCTTTCTTTAAGCTAATCAAAGAAAGACCCTGGGAAGAGAAGAAGAATAGGTTTGCAATTTGCCAGGTTCTTCAAAACAATTTCTGGACAATACTGTCAGTTCATAAGCCTCTTGTTTCTAATAATGACCACATGCTACTTTCATGGGAGAAACTAGGCAAAATACCTTTCCCAATGCTACGACCCAGGTTATTGTTGTCTTTCAGAGGATCCACGATGTTAAGATGTTTAAGCACAAATCCTACTGGCCCTTTAGTCTCGAATGCTTGGATTGGAACTGAGAAATAGTCAATGTAGTTTTTTATGAACTCCTTACTGAGCAATAAATCACTTCCACTGTTTTCTGGTGTCTCTACTGCAAAAGCAACAAAACAAAGGCGTTGAGTAAGGCGGTGAGTAAGGGGGAACTGCTGTCATCAACAAGGGAGCCACAGAGATGAAGCACAACTTGGCTTATTCCCCTACACTTCTTGTATTTCTTTCTTTTTGACCATTTATTCCTCTACATAAAGGCCCAGCTATTTTGCGGGCAAAGCTCTGCAATCTCACCATCACAATTAGAAGAATAATTTTTGTTGAACATCATACACAAACAAAAATCATACTTATTCTCTTCAGAACATAGCAAACAAATTTCATAACTTAACACACTCTTATCCATGTGCCTAGTAAGATGGCAATATTTTTGTACTTGAATCTAGAGTCTGCAAGGGGATAAATGTGATGGCTTGGTATGTGTATTCTGCATAATGAACCAATTAGACGAAAAGATCATGGCCTTCGTGATACGATACTACTCACCCACAACTTCTGGAAGCGATTTTAAGACAACTGGACCATTTAAACTAATACCATACTTGTCCCAGTCGAATGTGCTATAGTAGTCCAAAAATTTGTACAGGACCTGCATATGTAGCATCACATTTAGCAAATTACTCATTTATGCTGCCTGAGATGTAATAATGGAAAAACTGGCCAATAGTACTCACCGCTAAAGGACCACGTAAACAAGAATGAAAGAGATTAATGATATACAAGACCAAAATTTCCAATGCATATGTTGAAATCAACCCAAAATATGCACCCAAAATCCGGCTCTCGTAAAAGCACCAGGCCTTGATCAGAATAATACTACGTTTGAATAGATGGTTCTTCCCAATAAGCTGGTCAACCTATGAGATAGACATCAGAGAGATGTCAAATCAACAAAATTTATGNAAATGGCAGATAAAAGTTTTACAAATAATCCCCATAGTGAGGATCCTCTATGGAGAACAAAGGACAATTTTTAATCCTCATCAGAATTCAGATATCCTCTCAAAGAACAACTAACAAGATTTTTCAATGTCTGTTAGTTACGTGGATGATCTTCCAGCAGATGAAATATTAGATGATTTCTATTCTTTCTTTAAGCTAATCAAAGAAAGACCCTGGGAAGAGAAGAAGAATAGGTTTGCAATTTGCCAGGTTCTTCAAAACAATTTCTGGACAATACTGTCAGTTCATAAGCCTCTTGTTTCTAATAATGACCACATGCTACTTTCATGGGAGAAACTAGGCAAAATACCTTTCCCAATGCTACGACCCAGGTTATTGTTGTCTTTCAGAGGATCCACGATGTTAAGATGTTTAAGCACAAATCCTACTGGCCCTTTAGTCTCGAATGCTTGGATTGGAACTGAGAAATAGTCAATGTAGTTTTTTATGAACTCCTTACTGAGCAATAAATCACTTCCACTGTTTTCTGGTGTCTCTACTGCAAAAGCAACAAAACAAAGGCGTTGAGTAAGGCGGTGAGTAAGGGGGAACTGCTGTCATCAACAAGGGAGCCACAGAGATGAAGCACAACTTGGCTTATTCCCCTACACTTCTTGTATTTCTTTCTTTTTGACCATTTATTCCTCTACATAAAGGCCCAGCTATTTTGCGGGCAAAGCTCTGCAATCTCACCATCACAATTAGAAGAATAATTTTTGTTGAACATCATACACAAACAAAAATCATACTTATTCTCTTCAGAACATAGCAAACAAATTTCATAACTTAACACACTCTTATCCATGTGCCTAGTAAGATGGCAATATTTTTGTACTTGAATCTAGAGTCTGCAAGGGGATAAATGTGATGGCTTGGTATGTGTATTCTGCATAATGAACCAATTAGACGAAAAGATCATGGCCTTCGTGATACGATACTACTCACCCACAACTTCTGGAAGCGATTTTAAGACAACTGGACCATTTAAACTAATACCATACTTGTCCCAGTCGAATGTGCTATAGTAGTCCAAAAATTTGTACAGGACCTGCATATGTAGCATCACATTTAGCAAATTACTCATTTATGCTGCCTGAGATGTAATAATGGAAAAACTGGCCAATAGTACTCACCGCTAAAGGACCACGTAAACAAGAATGAAAGAGATTAATGATATACAAGACCAAAATTTCCAATGCATATGTTGAAATCAACCCAAAATATGCACCCAAAATCCGGCTCTCGTAAAAGCACCAGGCCTTGATCAGAATAATACTACGTTTGAATAGATGGTTCTTCCCAATAAGCTGGTCAACCTATGAGATAGACATCAGAGAGATGTCAAATCAACAAAATTTATGAAAGTTTGCTTGAAATACAGCATAATACATCACATGAGAGAGAGAGAGAGAGAGAGAACTACGAGGAAACCAAGTTTATTATTCAGGAAAATTAATCAAACTAGAGAAGACAGAATAAACAAAAAAAGTTAAATTGCAACAGATGAGCTGAAATTAGTAAGAAATATAAGCATATGTAATACTAAAAACAAAAAAACCAAGAACGTAAGGGAAAAGCTGCATATCCAGGGTTTTAAAGAAATATTACCATCTTGAAATAGAAAATATATTGTAGTTATAAATTTCGACAGATAGCTTCCTTATCCTTATTTTCTTTATGTTTTTTTATCCTGTGTGCTTAACTAACTCATATCATCAGGGTAATATTTAAGTCAAACCTGCTCCAGAAAGCACAAAGAACAGAGTCCGGCCATCTGATTGAATGAGATGTCTATCGCAATATTCTGCACGGTACACTTGACAATCTTGACCTGCCATTGAAAAAAGGACATCACCACCAAAAAGCCAGATATGCATGGGATCTATTATTTCTTCGGAGTATTATGACAAAACATATTATATTATTACTACTCTTGATGACGAGGGTGTCCAGAACATTTAGGGCTTCCAAGTAATCCCCTGGGTACATGACCCACCCACAAGAGCTTCGCACCAGGCAAAGCCAGACTGAAGTCTACGTAGGTTTGACTCAAAAAGAAGCATTTCCTTTTTTAACAGGAATGCAACCAAACTGAGCCAAGCATTATTAGCATGCTTGATTAGCTTCACTTTAATTACAGGGTGTCCAAGTTCATCCCAAGCTTGGCTCGGCATACGTTTGCCTTTCTAAGATAGTGATGCCAGCCATAAGATTGGTAACATCTCACTCATCTTTTTGGGGATTTGATATTATTGTATGGTCCAAAACAGGAGCAAAACCATTTAAGGATTACTAAGTACAAACTACTAGCCCTTAAACTTGAAGAAAATCGTAAGTGGACCATTGTCATTGCAGTTGGATTAATACCAAGATGAGCTTATTAGGCTCAGACTTGCTCCATCAACTAAATGATAGAAGCTGACCTAACCAATAATCGAGCCAAGCCTGAGCTCGATCAACTGCTTGCTTTACCTGCAGCCCTATTTATCAATATAGCAACAAATAGAAAAGCAACTAACTATATATTCATTATCCAAGGTTGCTTTTGAAAATCCAATAATAGAAATTACCTAAAACATACTAAAAGTTGTTTCCACCACTTCAGGTAAGTAAGAGTAGAAGTAGATGAAGCAATATAGTCTTGCATGCGAGTACAGACACATGGGCAGAAAGTGAGAGATATCCACCAGTTTCTTTTCAGTATTTGCGTGAATACCTTATTCTATTGCTGTATTGGAGGCCATGTTTCTTCCATCCCCACGATGCCTCTACCGGTAAGTTTAAATGAGGAAATGCTAGTGACTCAAGTCAGTAATATATGTTTCAGTTGTGTCAGGCAGACACCCATTGTTATAAACCATTATTTCTAACAAACGTGTGTATGACAGTATGTTGCAAAAGATCACCACTTGATAAGCGTTACTGGGACTGACTTTTCTCTTCCCTTTCTGAGAGCTAGATGGCATTTGGGTGATTAGGAAAGGACCTTGGGTGGTTAGGAAAGGACCTGAGACTTCTTTCTTTTGGCTCTCTATAAAAGGTACCACTGTCTGTCCTCATTACAACAAACCAAACAAGCATGAAAATAAGATTACAATGAATACAAGAAGGTTTTGCCAGCTATCAGCCAATTTTTCTAAGACTAAAGTTCCAGTCTGATTTACAGCCTTGACTTCTTTACCAACTTATCAATAAGAGTGACAAGGACAATGACTGTCACACCCCGACCTAACACATGCAAATCAGAGCGCGAATAACCTTTAAATAATAATTATTATTCGTATAATAATAATTATACAAATAAGCTCTGGTAGTGACTGACCACACTTCAATTCAACTACATGTGATCGGAGCTTACATAAACTCGGTAGACCCATTCAATTCTCAAAGTTAAGCATTATTCACACCTTCAAAAATAGAGTAACAAGCTCGGATACCAAAACTTCTGTCACTTCAAGGATCACTCGAGATCGCTATCCAACGGCCTTAACTCAAAATTTGTACTCTTTCAACTCAACTTAAGGTGTAAGTGTGTGGGTACATGCAACTGTGTTAGAAACGAACATCAGAGTAGTAAACTTGGATGGTACATCTTTTTCAAAAGGGTACAATTTCCAATTATAAACATGTTCAAAAAACATAAAAATATTCCAACCTCTTTTTCCCACACCACGCTAACATCTCGCTATCTGAATATTGTAAAGATAAATAACATAGAGTGAGCGTCAACCAATAAGTTGATCCAATTCTAAACAAAAAATGTTTGAAAATAACATAGCGTTTCAATGATTGTGACTAAAGCATCATTTAAGCATATATACATATAACTCAAAAAGATTTCAGAATTGAAACAGTTATAAATCAGCAACTGGTACCTCATATACCCAAATATCAAATCATAGTTGTATCATACCGGGGAATAAAATCCTAATGACCTCGTCGGGTCCACAAACACATCAATGTATCAATTAAGTATATTTTTTAGGAGACTCGTACCCCAAGGAAGACACGCTACTTATTTCAAAAAGTACTCAAGCTCGAAAGTCATAGGGCCACTAGAACCAATGAATAGACGAGTGAATCCCTCTACAGGCTCAAACCCACGCATAAACCCTATGCTACTCAAACCTGTATGTACAATATTTTTCATAAATTGGATCTGATAAATCAATTTCACAACAACACAACAATTCATAGTGCGAACTCATAACTGTATTCATCCCAATTATATAAATCAAGAACATTTATCAAAATACTTGCTAAAATAAGATTCATCCGCAAATGAATTAGACAATTCATGTTTAGAACAGAATCGCATCAACCTATTCCTCACGCAGAACAGAGACTGGAACGGCTGTCAAAAAATCAAATAGTCAAATTTTTAGAGGTGAGTCAAATGTAAGTCCTTAAGACCAATTTGAACATAGAAGTAAACTTGGTTTGGTCAAAATTTACATTGGTTGCGAAAATTGGATCCAGGAACGGGCAAAACAATCAATTAGGGTGCAATATGCAAAAAATGTCAGATTTCAACAAGCCACCAACAGCCACTCCAAGGTGCCGTCGGGGTGAACTACTCCTCCACCCCTTCCTCATTTGCTTCTATTTCAACCACCTCAACTTTCCAACCTCAATTCTCCCCCATTTCTTGACCAAATCGAATGATTCCAACGCCATTCCACTCCTATTTCACCCTAGTTTCATATCTAAGTATTGGGTTGAACAAACTCATTCCAGAAATCCATGAAATTTAGCTCAAAGTTGGGTTAAAAATGGAGTTTTCATGAGGATAGACATGCAACTCCAGTTTTCACCAACCAAATGACCAAAAAATGTTCAAATAAAGCCTAGAAATGAATTTCTCGGCCCTAAAAACATTGGAAAAACTTAAAAAATTGTTTTTCAAAGACCCAATATAATCAACCTAAAGCTTCAAAATGGGGTTTGATGGTTCTTTCAACTTTGAACACGACAAGGTCTAAAACTTGGAACACGAACTCCATGAGCTACCAAAAAACTTACCCTCAAACCGGTTTTCAAAAAGAGTGGTGTGTGCAGAGATCTCGAGTTTCCTCCTCCAAGCTTCTCTCTCTTCTTTCTTTTTTTCTTTCTCTTATCTTTTTCTCTTGGTTCAGCTCCTTCTCTTTCTTCTTTACTTCTTCTAGCAATCACTCTCTCTCTTTCTTCTGCAGCCCAAGCACCTCATGTGTCCAACTCCCATGCGTATGGTCCACACACCTCATGCTTGCATGATGTCTCACCACCTATGGCTGTCATCTTTTCCCTCTTTACTAAGCATTAGTACCAAACTCACCAACTTCACTCAATAGATACATACTATGAAACATGAACACTCTCAAGAAGGTGATATGTCCGTGTCGAACACCGACAGTCTTTGGACACTCTCGGACACTTGTCCGATATTCTTTTATCTGTGTCCATAATTAAATAATAAAATCTTAATTTCAGAGATGTGTCCAACACTTCTTTAAACCGTGTCTACTACTAAACAATAAATATGTGTTGACATATAATTAACAAGTTTAAAAATTTGACTATTAAGTATCTTATATTATGAAAGGACATATAATTACCAAGACTATACATGTTAAAGTTGTACTTAAAATATAATAATAAAAACAAAAGATATATAAAAGATTTAGAAAAGAACAATCATTTAAAGTATATATCTATAGAACACGTCTAAAAAAAAATTAATAATTATTTATTATTATGATGTTAGTGTAAATATTCACACTAAATGACTAGAGATAACATTTATTTATCATAAAATACTGAATTTTTTATGAATAATATATCACTATTACTATATTTGTGATAAATTATATAATTTTATATATAAAACATAATTATCTATAATGTGTCTCCAATGTGTCCGTGTTCTACTTTTTTAAACTTTGTCGTGTCTGCGTGTCTGTGTCGTATCCGTGCCCGATGTTTGTGTCCATACTTCTTAGGATACATACACGTCTCCTCATGCAGACCACACTCACCACTCCATAACACGCGTCCATCTTATCTTCTATACTTTATTCTTTTTGTTACCTTTTCTCATATCTCCAAAAACTCACTCTATATAGTCCACATCCGCCCACCTCGCACATCAATTGTTCTTATGTGTTTATTTTATTCTTATCATTTAATTCAATATGAAATATAAATAATTTCAATTTAACATAACACCCCGATTCTTATTGCTTTCCCCATTGAATCTTATTAAAATTTCTAGAATCCTAACTTTTTTTTCGGAAGGTTCTAGGATCCTAACTTAACCCTGAATAAAGATATAACATTTAGACAAACTATAATTGTTACTTCAATAAACTTTTAAAACGATAATTATTTTTTTCCTAATACCTTAATTTCTAAATTTTCCTTAGTTTCCAAGAAATCCAACTATTTCTTCGTTTCGTACAAATATTCCTTTACTGGCCGATTTTACTCCTAACTGGCATTTGTGCGATTTTCATTCAATTGCTTGGCCACGAGTTTTCTAAATTATTTAGTTCCGACATTCAAACCCTTATTACTCTTTGGCAAATATGTACGTTACAATAACCATTCACTTTAGTTGGCAATCTCCAAAAAAGGAAAAGAAAGCTACACATATATGTCCTCAAAATTGTTGGGAATTTCCAACAATTGAACAAATGTTATTTCACAATGAAAGCATTGAAGATATTGAAAGATTCATACGATACTAAAGTTTAAAAAGGAATTAGGTTTCAAAAAAAATAAAAAGGAGAAGAACAAGAGGGGAAAAGCTTAGGCACTCCTATCTAGGCTTATTAGGTATCACCTAGCAAAAGATATACCATTCAATACACCAAACAACAATAATAACCATTTTGGACTCTAGCATGGAAGCTAAAACTAGGCGATCAGGTAAACTTGGTGGCTAGTTAATCTAGAAGCCAAGGTAGTAGAAGACGTAAGCCTGGTCTAAGCCATCACAAAACATCAAATATTACCTCAGATGCTATCAAGCTTATAAAAAAGCTCACTATGACATGCCACGCTATAAAAACCAGAAACCACAAATAACCCTCACAAAAAAAATTCTAAACTAAATTTATTATTAAAAGACCATCAGACTCTTAAAAAAAGTTGGCTCTTTTGCGTCAAATTTTCAAATTTATTCTCTTTTTATGGT